TTTGACTATTATGAATAATGTTGTATACTCATATACAAATTTTCTTAAATTTTTTATTTTGGTACCGTGGATTGAACCCAGTGGCTTTGTACCACTGAGCTACAACCCCCACCCCCATCCTTTAATTTTTGTGTTTTGAGACATGGTCTTGCTAAATTGCCCCATCCAGCCTTGAACTTCTGATCCTCCTGCCTCAGCATCCCAAGTTGCTGAAATGACAGATGTGGGCTACTGTGCTGAGTATATTTTCATTTCTCTTGGGTATGGAACCACTGGGTCGTCTGGTGACTCGGTTTAATTATTTCCAGAATTGCTAGACTGATTTCTAGAGTGGCTGCACCATTTTACATTCCCGAGGGGCCAAGCTCCATGTCTTTGCCAACATTTATTTCATTTTTCTCATTTTTAAAAAATTTTTAAAAATTCACTTTTTGATCCTGAAATTTCTAGCGGGTGTGAGATGGTGTCTTGTGCTTTTGCTTTGCATTTCCCTAAGGATGCTGAGCATCCACTCCTGTGTTTGTTAGCCATTTGTATAACTTTCCTGATGATGTATCTGGTTGAGTCCTTTTTCACATATTCTAGGTAGAATTGCCCCACCAGATATGATTTGCAAATATTTTCTCCCATTTTGTGAGTTTTTGCATTATAAAACTGTTTGTAATTGACAAAAAAAGTGCATATATTTATCATGTACTTTTTTTGGATATATGTATTGTTGTGGAATGGCTACCTTAAACTAGCAGATGCTATTACCTCATATACCCTTCTTGTTGAGAACACTTTTTAAAAAATATATTTTTGTAATTTTAGGTGAACAGCATGCCTTTGTTTTTTTAATATATATTAGTTGTAGATGGACACAATACACTTCATTTTACTTATTTATTTTTATGTGATGCTGAGGATCAAACCCCATGCCTCATACGTGTGAAGCAAGCGCTCTACCACTGAGCCACAATCCCAGCCACTATTTTGTTTATTTTTAATGTGGTGCTAAGGATTGCAGTGCCTCACTCATGATAGGCAAGTGCTCTGCCACTTGGCTACAGCTCCAGCCCTATTTTTCTTTTCTTTGACAGTGCTGGGGATTGAACCCAGGGGTGCTATACCAAAAAGCTACATCCTCAACCCTTTTGGAGACAAGGTCCTGTTAAGTTGTGGAGGCTGGCCTCAAACTTGAGATCCTCCTGCCTCAGCCTCCTGAACTTCTGTGATTATAGGCCTGCACCACTGCACCCCACTGTCTCTTAAATTCAAGGCTAGCCTCCACAATTTAGAAAGGCCCTAAGCAACTTAGACAAGATTTTTAAAAAGGGCTGGGAATGTAGCTCAGCAGTAGACTGCCCCAGGACCAAACCCAGTATAAAAAACAAAACAAAACAAAAAAAAACCCAAAACAAAACCACCAACCAAGCAATTTTCAAGAATACATCTATTATTAGTCAATATTATTATACAATGAATCTCCTTATTAAAACTTATTTTCACTGAAATCCATATCCTTTGGCCATCTTCTCTCCCTTCCCATTTTTGATCTTTAAGTGATCAGGGCAAGATGGTGTCCCTTCATTTTGTGATGCTGGGGATTGAACCCAGGGCCTAAGGCATGTTAGGCAAGACCTCTACTGCTGTGCTACATCTCCAGCCCCACTTTCTTTGGATAGTGTTCTTTTTAATTTTGGTAACATCCATTTTTTCTCTGTTTTGTTCATGCCCTTGGTATCACATAAAAATCCTCTGCCGAACTCCAGGTGATAAATTCTCCTATTTTCTTCTAAGTTTTGTAGTCTTTGAATTCAGGACGTCTTCAAATAAGGGCTATTAAGGGTCCCTTAAAATTCCATGAGAATCACAGATGAATTCTAAGAAATATGCTTGGCTGTCGATTAGCATGGAAAATATTACCTTAATGTTCTTTCAACCCACAAATACGTTTTTTCTTCAGTCTTTTTCATTCTCAAATCTTTTTCACTCTCAATCAAAAGTATTGGATATAGCTCAGTAGTAGAACATCCTTGGTTTAAATTCCCTGTTCTGTACAAAAAAACTACACCTGAGTTAGGTATTACGCCAACTAAAAAAGCCCTCCTGGGCATGGATTCTTGTGCTGAATCCAATTATTTGAGGTTAACTACACATGGCCTTTACTGAGGCCCCCATTCCTTTTGGTTATTAATTTTGTAACTAAAGTTTCCCTATGGACTACATGGCCTGAATTTTTAAAATGGAAAAATTTTGCTATCAAAACTGATCCATCAGATGAACATGGTAATGCATGCCTGTAGTTCCAGTGATTTGAGAGGCTGAGATATTCTCACATTTAGACCTCGGGTCAAACTTTAAGAGCTGGGGATGTACCACAGTGGTAGTGTCCCTTGGTTCAATCCACAGCACCAGGACAAAGGAAACAAAACAAAAACCTGGCAGTCAGGGCTGGGGTTGTGGCTCAATGGTAGAACGCTCACCTAGCGCATGCGAGGCCCTGGGTTTGAACCTCAACACCACATAAAAACTAAATAAAAACAAAGGTGTAAAACTAAAATAAATAAGTAAAAAACCTGGCAGTCATCTTCCCATTACATGGTATAATGTCAGTTGCCCGTGAACTTTTGACTACTTTTAATAATGTACTTTCAGCCTCGGGCAGATAAATGCTTTAAATCCATTGTTCTGTTAATAACCCTGTAATGAAGGGTGGCACCTTTATTTTACAGCTACAACACACCGCAGAAGGCACACTGCTTTTTCCCTGACAAATCCACAGGGTTCCAGATCACAAAACCAAAACATTGAGAAGCTGATTTGGGGTAGCTGACCTCCAGCTATTTGAAAAAGATGCCATGCAGAAGAGCATGAACTATGAGCAGGAAAATCCGGGTACTAGTCTCACAGCTGGAACAGACTTCTGAACTCCCGTGCCTTTGAAACAGAACTACCAATTAGCCTCATCTGATAAATACTACCAGTGGTGTTAAATAGCCCATGAACAGCTTAGCCTATAATAAGTGGGCAAAATAATCGAGCCACTCACAGCCTTGTAGATTCAAACAGCAAGTCTTTATTCCCGACTTCTCACCGGCATTCTACACGCATGTTCTGGGGGAATTCCACCAGCACTCTACATCCCAAATACTCTCTCAATCCCGCGAGAACTCAACGGGAACTCAAGGAGCGGGCGTCTGAGGCAGCAGGATACGCCCTATTCCCAGCAGGAATCGCCTTAAACCTGGAACCGCCCTAAACCCGGATCCGCCCTGGTCATGCAATGTCACTGCAAATGACCTGGGTCCAAGGCAAGCCTATTTCCACAATGGAGAGTCCTTCCTCTAAGCAACATGGGGTAGGCTGACAAGGAAATTGCCATGTGTCGTACCTACTTAGCTATGGCTCTCAGCATCTCCCCGCTTCTGATTAATTAAACAACAAGCAATGTGGCTTAGGGACCGTGCCTGGTAGGTTGTCCAATTCAACATATGGTTCTTACCCGTCATGGGATGAACTGACCTCTAGGCATCAGCCTCCTGTCTTAGGTTGTTACCACTGCAATTGGATCATACCAGTCATTGACTACCGGTCCAGCATACAGCCATACTTGTGGATAGGCCTATGCACCAGTGGGGGGGTGAGGTTCTTTGCCTCATCTCTGTTGGCCCCCAAATTTGGCCTTGGTGCCAGTGGGGGGGTGAGGTTCTTCGCCTCACCTCTGTTAGCCCCCAAATTTTAGACTATCACTAGCAGAAGGGAGGAGGATACAGAAATGCCAAGCCAATTGACGGCTCCTTTGGAAAAATCACGGTGACACCATCAGCAAAGATATGCCAGCACTACCACAATCTGCTGCACCAAACAATAGTTCACAATGTATACAAGTGATACATAGTCCAGGCAAGTTCTACAAGCAGTTCAAAGTGGAGGAATCTATCAATGTCCATTTCCTCCCAAAGTAAATTGACCTCTTGATTGAGCATTACTTGTTGAGTTATATTCATTGATGCATCAGTTTATACAGTTTACTGTGATAGCTATCATAGAAGCTGTAGTTTGGTTTTATCTTTGTCTTCACCGCCACTGGGATGAAGATAGGAATTCTGGCAATGATGCTAAAGAGACATTATCCTGAATAGAATTATTAAATATAATGAAATTATAAGTGGGCAGATAACTGGGATTCCTATTTTATTCATCAAGCAGGCTTTAATCTTTTCCCTTAACTACGTTCTGAGAAACTGCCCACATCACACTGCGTATCAAATTCAGATTCATTTCAGAGAAATTGCATCTCAAACCACATGAAAATACCTGGCAGATGGTTATTAACTTATTAAGCAATAGCACCCAACAACAATCCAGTATTTCTTCTGTATATACTGTGCATACTTCTGCATTCACAATGCTCTTATGCCTGAAACCAATCAAAAAGGGGCATTGCTAATAAAAGTACATTTTAGGAATAAAAATTACAGAATGAAGGGGATTTAAAATATTGATGGCCAAATCAGGTTTCGGACTATAAGGGGCCATAAAATTAGGCTAGTAATCATGAAATCAAAAGTGGTTCTATAGTTGGACATGGTGGGGGCATGCCTGTAATCCCAGAGGGCTGGCTGGGAGGCTGAGGCAGGAGGATCATGAGTACAAAGTCAGCCTTGGCAATCCAGCTGTATCAAAAAGGGATGGGGGATGTGCTGAGGTTAAGCACCCCTGGATTCAATTCCTGGTACCAAAATAAAAAGATTTTAAAAAGTGGTTCCAGGGGCTGGAGTTAGAGCTCAGTGACAGGAAATTCCTACTTAAACCAGTCACGTTGGGGCACACTTGTAATCCCAGTGAATCTAGAGGCGGAGACAGCAAGGTGCTAAACTCAGTGAGACCCTGCCTCTAATAAAATACAAAATAGGGTTAGGGATATGGCTCAGTGGTCCAGGTCCCCCTGAGTTCAATCCCTGGTACCTCCTCCAAGCAAAAAAATAATGCTATGTAAAATAAAAACACAATCCAATTTTTCAAAAATGACTTTATTAATGGCAAATAAGTTGTCCATCATTCCTCCTTATATGCTTCCTCATTGGTTTTGTGGACACAGCTCTCTTGATCCTGCAATTAAAAGATCTGATTAATTCAAGACAAATTCTGATTTATGAAGTTCTCATTTATTTTTAAATAAACACCAATACCAACTGTTGAGTTTCCTAACATTTAAAATCAAGGAATGTAGTATTAATCACAAACATGAGTTGTTTTTTTGGTAGCACCCAAGATAGTAAGAATCATTCAACTTACCTACACACTTTGTCAAACGACTTGTGGTTTTCCTTCTTGGTTGGCCCATGCTGTCAATGTCTGGAGAACAAATATCTGATCCACCTACAATTAATACGGATTCAAAATAACATTTGCCACATTAACTTCTAAAAATAACATTTGCCATATTAATTTCTAAGTAGTTCATACATTTTATTTTTGTGTGTGTGGGCGAGGGATGCCAGGGATTGTACTCATGACACCTTGCACATGCTAAGCAAATGCTATACTACTGAGCTACATAGATTTCCCAGTCATTTTTTGAGACAGGGTCTTTCGATGTTGCTCAGGCTGGCCTCGAGCCTACCATCCTCCTGTCTCAAGCTTCCAAAAAAGTTCGGATTACAAGTGTGTATCACTGCACCCAGGTGTATCATGTAAACTTTATTCAGACACAGACAAGAGATGCATCTTTTGGCATAAGGTCCAAGCAATTTTAACTATTCATCAAATATCAAAAACCTGCCCCATACCAAAATTATTTTCTTACACTTTCTTCTCAGGTAATCATGGAATTTTCCCTCTTCCTACTAATTCTTCCATCTACTGCATAAAGTTTATGGAGATTTTATGAAAAACATTTACCCATCAATTCAAGCTCTTTTGGTAATCATTTGGTATTATATAAGCACGTATCTTTTTTTTAAATTTTTTACTTGTTAATTGACCTTTATTTATTATACATGGTGCTGAGAATCGAACCCAGTGCCTCACTCATGCTAGGCAAGCAATCTACCAACTGAGCCACAACCCCAGCCCAGCATGTTATTTTTAAAATTTTCCTACTTTTATAATAAATATTCTACTTTATCATATCCCACCTGACCTGATCAAACCCCTGACCTCTCACATGTTAGGGAAGAACTGCACTACTGAGATACACCCCCAGTTGTCACACAATGTTCAAAATAGACAATACAAAACAAGTCTCACCCTCTCCCATATTTCATTGGTTATTTTAACCAATGAAGATAAATCAAGCCCCAAAATCCACTAGAGGTTAAGGTTCCAAAGGACACTTACTTCAAGTGAATGAACATTCCAATATCAGCCAACATCAACCATTCTTACCTAAAGAATAATAAGAAAAAGTTAATATAAAAGACAAGGGTATAAAATAAAGGCTTGAAAATGCTAGTTAACTTCAAAATTTAAAGAGTAAAATTCCAGAGACAAAGATTGGGGTAAGTTACAGCATTAAAAAAATAGGAAGAAACTTCATGGGGAAAAAAATCTAAAATTATTTTTTGTGTAAGTACTAAGTAGACACCAGAATTAGAATGAAAACTGTATCTTCTTTTAAAATGCAAAAGTCTAACTCCTATTTTCACCAGTCTGAGCACAATGAAGTTTGACTGCAACCCAAAATATACTATCCCTTATGTGAAGGTATGTGACAACGTTCACCTCACCCAGTATTTTATTTATCAGCTCTCTTTTCATATGAAAGCACATACCCTGCTCCCCATTCAAGTATGCCTTTCATTCTCAGGTGGGCTAACCACCTTCAGCAGGAGTCCTCCAAGAGTGCCTTACCCACTTCCCACAGTACACAACACTGCAGTTGTTACCCTGCAATCCTATGTATTTGCCTCTTCTTTCCCCTCCAAGTCCTCACTGAGTTTTAAGTTAGAGCAAGGAAGCTATGCCTTACTGGGGCAGCAAGGAACCCAAGGTTTTCTGAGGGAGAAGACATTCACCTTCACACTATATGCCTGGCAGGGCCACAGTGCACAAAACAGAAAGCTCAGCCTAATTCAAGTTCCAGGTTTTTCTTCCTCCCTGTATCATTACTGCCACAGGTATATGAAATATAATTCCCTGTTGCACATGTACCATCCATAAGGGATACTATATCGTTTTGCATTCTTCCCCATTCTCCTGATTATTCCTGTCCTATTCTACGTCCAGCCCCCCTTTCACCTTAAAAAAAAAAAAAAAAAAAACTTTTCAGCACTGGTGTTCAAAAGCAACATTTTATGGTTGATGGTTTACCAGCAACTGTGAGATTTCCACAGTTGAGTCTTAAAAATTGCCAATCATTATCTAGCAGCAATGACAGATGATTAGGAGCAGTCAAATCCTCTAATTCTTTCCCTAATAGGCAGCCATTTGAGAACTGCACTAGCTGACAGCACTGAAACATTATCAGCTAAAGCCAAAACCAAGTAAAGGCCCAGAACAAACACCCCAGCTCTCTAAAACCTGTCCAGAATCATTAAGGGAAAGGCAGTAAATAATGCAGGACTGTAGATCATGTCACTGCAGCTGACAATGATTAACAATAGGAGACATGCAACCCCCATTAATGTTAAAAGTCCAAAACTAGTCACACGCATCCCTTTTATTAGGAAAATGAAGACTATTATGCGTTCTTTGTAGGTTTGCAACCTTGTGTGAAGAGTACCCATTGCATTTCTTTGATCTTTCAGAAAGCACCGGTATCTGTTCCAAGGGCCTAACAGTACGAAAATGCATTCTGGCATCACACCTCTGAACTCAAGAGTGTTCTCATTAAAAAGAAATTTTGGTTTGTTACAAGAAAAAAAGATTATGAAATACAATGCAAGCACCTCAGTATAGAGCGTTATTACTGAAACCCACTTAATTCCCAGCTTTTTGATTGAGTGCTTTTTCAAAAAGTCACTGTACTGAGATTCACAATTCATAGCTTCATACAAATTAAAACTAGTAAGAATAGATTTAAGTCAATGGTTTCTTTTCTGAAGTGCAAAAGCCGATTAATCTTGAAGTAAGCAGAACAAAGCAAAATTAACCCCCACCCCAATGATGTTCCTTAAACCCATATATTATACCAAGTAGTTCTCTGAACATTGTTACTGACTGCTAAGAAATAAACCTGAGCTTTTAGTTCTGAACACCCAGTCACTAAACCACGGCAGCAAGCGTTGGGCCACCGATTTAATGGATTATGACACAGGAAATCCCCCATGAGGGTTCTATGCAGTTTTAGTGGTACTCATGTCACTAACACTGAAAATTGTTTGATCTGCATTGTATTAATACGAAGAAACTAAACTAGTCACCAGTTGCTCTTTTATCTATCAGGAAAATCAGAAGTTGTTTGCTTGAATGAACTACAAATCTGTAGAGTACAAATCTGTCCCCACCCTGTGACTTACTTGCCAAAGAGCAAGCCATTTTTCTTGAGACAAATGAAAGAAAATTCTCATAGTTGTGAAGAGTTTTCACCGGCAATTATGCAAAGTAAACCAAACTTTCCAGTTACAGAGCAGAAAGCATTAAAAGCTGTTTCTCATGCATACTAGCTAAAAACCAGAGACCAGAGTTAAGTTGGATTGAGGTCTGGAACAACAGTCGATGCAAAGCTAAGCAACAAAGAAGGTGCTTTTTGAAGACTTATGTTTTCTTGTACCTAAACATTTTGGACTGTAACATCACATCCCTAAAGCTAAGGGAACCAAGTTCAAAAAGCTACTCTGAACAAATGCAGTCACTCTACAGAAAACGACGAAGTTTTATGATTGGGAATGATTCCCAACATGTATTCAACTATAAGCAAGTCAATATTTCACACCACCTTCCCCCAGGTTTAGAGTATAACCGTATTTAAACAAGTCACATAACTTGAACTATTCACGTTAGATTCCCATCTAAGCCCAAGTTAGTAACAAAGGTGTTCCCATGAAACCCATTACAAAAAAACCCTGCAGTTTAGTCTGAGTTCACTCAACTTGCAGAATAATTACCAAGATTACATAATGAAATTACTTATATTGCTGACCTTTGAGCAGGTCAGTTTGCTACAACAGAGACTAATTATCACATGCCATATGGATCCATGCTATATGGTCCATGTCAAGGTGCTAAAAGCACCCTACTTCCCTTCCCAAGTATGGTTTTGGTTCCCTCTTCCCCACACCACTGATGTGTTCCATGTTCTCTTCATTTACAATGCAACTATAGAAAACCACACAACTGAGTCAGATATACCAAGAATCAAGTTTGCACTTTTTATCTGAGAACTGCAACAGCACTGATTTCTGCCTAACAAATTACAGCTCTAACCCCAGACCCACGCAGTTTTGCTATAAGCTAGCTTTATCATACAAGTGTTAGGTGCTGCACTGTAATTTCATTGTCAGAAGTGTGATGTCAGAATGCCCACGGAATAAAAGTACATAGCAAGTCACCAAGTTAGATTATATTGCTTGTTACCTACCTGTATGCAGTCGGCAATGAGAATCTTGGAGCAAGCAGGAATACTACATCCGGGTCCTAATGTCCATTGCCATTTGCGGTACTACGTTCCTCACAGTTACGCACTGCAGAAATGCTGGCTAAATGCAGTTATGTAGCAGGCCACTACTTTAATAGTGCATAATTGCAGTCCAAGAACACCACAAAACATTCCGCCACAACTTAGTGGCTTGCCCAAGCCAAGTATCTAAAATTTTTTTCTGCCATAATATGCCACTTATAAAAATTGCACAGGCGTAACATTACAATTTCCCAAATTGTTATTTGTTTTTATCAGTGATATAACACATCTAAAAAGAGTGGTGGGGTTTATATTCTTAGGAGTTTAATGTTCTAGGCAAAAAGGATTGTTTTTCACTAAGTAATGTGAGCCAATGGGTTAAGTTTATATAGACACCTATGAAATACACTAGCATCTTCAAAGAGAATGCAGTTTTTAAAGATTTGGAGACATAAGGTTCAAAAACAAAATGTTCCTCTTAAAAATTATGAGAGAAAGGGAAGAGGAGGAAAATAGGGGCAGGATGTTTCTTTAAATGAGAAAAATGGCTAATACTTCCAAAATTATTACCTTCCATTTCCCACCCCAAGTTTCATCATTGACTTTTAGAAAACTACTCATTAAGATGATTTAAGTTCACATTAGGCTAAAAAACTATCATTTACATTGCAAGACTTATTGAAAGTCCATTTGAGTAGCTTTACAACCCTTGGTACACTGCAGTTTCCATGATAAAAGTCAAATGTTCAGTTGAAACTCAGCAACATTATTTGCTAAACAACATTTAGCAATTCTACAGCCCTTAGTAGGCTATCAAAAGCCACAACTTTCAGGAGATTATTCATTAGCATCCTTCACCACTCTTCAAAGGTATAGTACTACCAAAAGCTTATTTTAGGGGTCTGTGCCAGCATCCCTTATAAAGAAAGGCATGTAATCTGAAAAATAAACTGAAACATTAATTTTATAGGCAGATTTTCCCATTTCCCCTCCAGCCCCCACCCACATACATTCAAGTTCACCCTCGTGGGTGTCCCATGAACACCCCTAACTTTCTTATCATTATAGAGTCCCCTACTATACAATTCAAATTGTAATGGACTACTTTCAAACCAACACCCTTGTTTCCATACACAAAATCCCATGTGTGCATCACCCATTAATGACTTGGGACAAAACTTCCTCCTTGGTAAAAGAACTATCCATTTCCAAATGTGTTCAGTGAATAAAATTAGCACATTTTCTAAGGAGATTCTCTTCCTTAATTAACACACCATGTACCTGTCAGCCCTGCAACCAGAATTTGGTGACATGCTTTTTACACTTCAGTGTTTTACTTAGATAATTACCCTGTTTTCCTATGCAGAAAATACTCAGTTGTTTCAACAATAGGTCTCCTTTTGTACTCAAGGAACAATACTAAACTTCAGCATGGTAACAAAAGGTTTGATTTAGAATTTTTCTTTTGCCAATTAGCCCCAAGAACAGAGGTGAAAAGGATGAAGATATTCCAAAGTTCTATAATGTAGAGTTGAATGGAAACATAGCTAAGAACAAAGCTAAACCATTCAATTACTTTACCTACTGTTAGAAATTGTTCCTCTAACATATTTGCACTGGGAAATCAAGCTCCCACTGTACTGACAGACAACAGTAAACAATCTACTTTAATATTGAATCAAAAAGTCTTTTTCTAATGGAAGGAAATTCAATGAAGTTGACAATTAACTGACAACACCATCGAAACATTCCAAAGCTTTATGGTGGAAGGAAGGGGTATTTGTACTGTGTAGCATGAGCAAGTCACTGAGATTTAGTGCTACATCAAAAAGCAACTATCTAAAAACAGGTGAACAAATTTTTAAGAATGGTTATCTGCAACCCTATTTGTTATTAAAAGTCACCACTAGCTCTTAAGAAGAAAACCAAGATCTTTATAGTCTACAGATTTTTCCCAACAGAAGTAGCACAAGGTGTAAAAGTTAAAAAGACTACGAATGTAAATAGAACTAAACCCATTTTACAGTTAACTAAACCTTACTTTACTTTTTCAAGTTGAATTCTTCAAACTAAGCCCCAGCTTTATAAATCACTTGAAGTAATACATGAAAAGGCTTATGTTTAACAATCTTTAATTCAAATGTAAAAGTTCAATACAAGCCATTTGTAGGGCTTGGGATTTGTTGTTCTTTTAAAAACAAGAATTAGGGGAAATGCGACAAAATGATCTTTCCACTTTTTTCAAAAACTTCCAAGGATAGATCATAGGGCCATAAAAGATCCATTAACCAAACCCACTTTCTCCCCCTACCAAGTCTTATACCCATTCCATAATCTTAATACATATTCCTGAATGAAGATTTACAGTTCAGCTTTGCTTACATAACCATTTAAAAATACTTAGCACCAGCTTGCTTCCTATAATGCCAAACAATCGTGAACTACTTCAAATCTGCATTTCTTCTTTTTAAAACAAGGGGGCAATTACTTGTAGAAAGCAATACTTAGCCTCCACATACATTTCCCAGAAATGGCATATGCCTGCCATTCAAAGGCCTCAACACTCTCATGCTTTCAAAGTGGAATACCTAGCCTAATGTGCATAGAAGCATGAATGGCAAAGTTGAAGATCAGTATTATAACTATTTTTCTATTTATTTGAAGCACAGTAAAAAAAAAATCGGTACACTTTGGAAATTCGGTGGCACAAGGTACACTGCCATTAACTTGAGGGACATTATACAGTTAAAAAAAAAAAAAAAGAAAAAAAGAGAAAAGAAAAAGTAAAAAGAAAAAACTTTTCTCCTGTTTCAAACACTGCATTACATAATTTTACCTGCCCAAACAGACCATTTACAAATATTAGGTCAATAAACTGCTAACATCCATAAAAAGGTAGCTTTCTTACTAAAATGCAAGAATTTAAAAGTGGTATCTAAACAAGAAAAGACAAAAACAAACTGGAATGAAAGCCTAGATATCACATCTAAAATCGGGGTTTTTTGTTTGGGCCTTCATACTCTTCTCTCCCTCTACCATATCCTGCTGGAGTTCCAGGGCCCATTCCTCTAGGACCCTGTCCACCCACAGGCCCCGCACCTCCCTGCCCAAAGCGCTCAGTACGCTATTGGAACAGTAATCAACAGTTCATTATATGTAGTTGATGTCCATGTGTGTTAAGTAAATATTTTAGAAGGTTCCGTAGTCAACGTTCGTCGATACAATCACCAATGAGTCGATCCACAGGTACCGGGAACATAGAAAGGAAAAAAGGGTAATTTGAAAATTAGTTTACGATAATACATGCCTTGTGGTATGTTCCCACTTGAGCCATTCTCATACACCTGTTTCAAAGAACAGATCTTCCCTGTAGTGCTAAAAAATTTAAGAATTAGTGCAGATGTGAAAATCCATTCCAAAATGCGTTCTAAGAAATTTCACATCAGATTAATCCAATGAAAACTTGCAAACTCTCACTTTCAGGGTATGAACAGAAAATTTACTCTCCAAGTAAGCCTAACAAGCCCATCCAGACAGAGTCAATTCACTCAATGAAGTGACAAGACCTACTCACCAGTCAGTGGCATGTGCTGCTTAAGAAACCTTGTGCTTTTCAAGATCTTAAGACACATCTGCTAAGTTGCAGAAATCTTAAAAGGTTGAAAGTTTTAATAAAATGCTACCAGACTACAAAAAGAAAAGGCATAAAAAAACTAATAGATTTAGTCACTTAACCGGCACAGTAACTTGATCAAAAACTTGTGTTGCCATATTCTCACAGGTACACCACCTTCAGAGCCATCACTATAAAACCAGAGACAATTATGTTCACTTTCACAGTACTATTCTGCATTGTTGCAAACATACAGCCCACTAACAGCCCAACTTTTCCCTGAGGTCTTTAAAAAGTACACTGAAACCTTGCTATGAATCCATGCTTTAGAAATTTTAAAAGGCTCCACAAACAGTTTAACACCAAGCTATAGTGACTGCAATAAAGCAGTGAGTAGGTTTTAGGTACTTCTCGACTTGAAATGTTATGTACCCAGACAGCAAGACTCTATAGGTAGGTAAGCATAGCAGTCTATTCTGTCTTAAATTCCATTTAAAATAGCCCACTTACTCAGTTTTATTCCAAAGAAAAGTCCTAAAATTATTTATTACGATTTAGCTGCTCTGTGCCTATATATATAATTTCACCTTCTCCCCCAATACTGTAAAACTACTTGGGAAATCCTCTTGAAAAATTTTTTTAAAATTGTGTATGGTTTTTACATATTATACTTTATCTCAAAGAGATGAAGATTTGGGGGGTTTAAGATTGTTATTAGAACAGCTAAAAATTCTAGTACTTGGCCACATAGAACCTGAACTGTGGGAACATCATATCAAATTTGAGTCTACAAATTTAATACGTACCTAAACTGTTTTTTATGAAGCTTAAATACCAAAACATTACCCAGTTTTTAAAATTCAGCTGGATAAAACTAATGGTATATTTAACACAACCATCAATTTAGAGTTGTAACTTTGTCAAAAAGCCTTAGATATATTTTAAGTAGATAAAGTCTCATATTAAATTCTAAAGTTTCTATTGATAAAAATTATGTGAGCCACATACTGCAGCGCATCTCTGCCAAAAGCCCATAGGAAAACTAAATCTGATTCAATCAGCTATGAAAATGTACTCTTTTCTAAGCCCACCAAAATTCAGAACTGAGGATTTGTAAAGCCCTAATACAGCCACTCATCAATTTACTTGACTGTTCTAAAGCATCTGACAGACTATCCATATAGCTAACATAATAGCATCAAGAAGGTTGAGATCAAATGCACACAATTAGTATGCTTAAATTTATTGTTGACTTTTGCTACCCTGTATCAAAATAGAGATGTCAGTTTATTTTAGAAGGTGTACCTACAAACAGACCCAACAGGTGGGAAACGACGAGTCAAAACACTAAACAATTCTCTTTCATGGGATAGAAGCCACACCAAATATAGGTCAAAGTTCTACATATCACTAAAACATGCCTAAAGCTACAAACTACAAGGCTGATTCCCATTTATGGCAAATACCAGCTTAAAGAATGACAGTTTGCCATGTGATTACCCTCAATTGAGTGTATAGAATAATCATACATTACCTAACACAGAATTTGGATTTGCCATGCACTGGGGTTCAAAAGTGCACAAGCAAAAAAGTGGAAAACACCTACATGTACTTATTGCCAAAGATAACTCCACATACTACTAACAGCATTGACTCCTCATTGGCAACCGTGTTTAGGTTACCACACAAGAGTTCTTCTGTGTTGCCAAAGTATTCCTCAAAATTATATATATACATGATAGGGAGAACTAAAAGAGGTCCAGTCACCTACTTAAAACAAAACAACAACAAAAAAAACACACACATTATGTCATGAAAATGAGAATTTCCTTTGTACTACGTCCCACAGGATACATTACCATGTCGCTTCCCATCATGGAACCACTCATAGTTGCTGGTGGAACTCCAGGATTAGCTTCATAACCTATGCCACCACCACCACCTAGAGGTGGAAATTTCTGGCCTCCTGAACCATAGGGATCTAGGAAACAGAAAGAGTAATTAGGATTCCACCACAACACTGCTCTCTGGTAATAAAGTTGACTTAAATTTTCATGCTTACCTCCCATGTTCATTGCTCCTCCACCACCCATTCTCATGTCTCTTTCTCTCTAACAGAAAAAAAAAAAAAAAATTTAATTCACCTATGCAATAAGCACATTAAGAATGTTTAAGACTTAAGAACTGTAAGGTTCAGAAGGCATTTTTCTTTCAACTAAAATATTAAAAAAAAAAACTAAAAACTAGCTATTTCCTAAGAACTGATAAAACAAAAAAACACCATAACCTTCCAGTTCAATCATCTTCGGGCCCATACAAAGAACAGGAAAAACAAGAACCATGGCAATCAAACATAGTACAGTTGTTTTAAAAAAAAAAAAAAAAAAGAAAGAAAAAGTAATCACTAGATCGGCCAAATCAAAAAAAAAAAAAAAAAAAATATTATAATTAAAAACATAAAAAACTACTTGGGGGGGCCTGGCTTTACCGGGGAATGAACTCTGGGGCACTTGACCACTGAGCCACATTCCCCAGCCCTGTTTTGTATTTTATTTAGAGACAGGATAGGATCTCACTGAGTGCCTTACAGCCTCACTGTTATGGCTGGCTTTGAACTCATGATCCTCCTGCCTCAGTCTCCCAAGCCACTGGGATTATAGACATGTGCCACTGCCCATGGCCAACATTTTAAGGTAGAAAATGACTATACTGTGTGATTTTTTTTTTTTTTTTATTCAACTGAGTCAAATTTCACCTTAGGTACCTACAAGTTCTATAAACAACTCCCTAGAATGCCAACAAACCCTAACTTACTGGATCCATGTAGCCCATCCGGCTATAACTTTCTTCTCTTTGGCGTCTCATTTGTTCTTCCATCTCACGTTGGCGAATCATCATCTCTTCCTCCCTTCTACGTCGTTCCTCCTCTTGCCTGAAAACATAATCAAGCGTAAGCCAAAGTATCAACCTCATCTTTTAAAATCTAATTTGAAAAAAAGCTGGTAGTAATATGTCTAAGAGCCTTAGATGGTGTAAGAACACAGTAAAATAGATAGATAGATACATACATACATACATAAATAAAGGGTTGGGGTTGTGGCTCAGTGTCAGAGTGCCTGCCCAGCATGTGTGAGGCACTGGGTTCGCTCCTCAGCACTGCATAAAAATAAAGGTATTCTGCATCCATCTAATCCTTAAAAAAAAAAAAAAAATCCATTCAAAAAAATAAGCAAACATGGGCTGAGGTTGTGGCTTAGTAGTAGAGCATCCGCCTAGCACATGAGAGGCCCTGGGTTCAATCCTCAGCACCACATAAAAATAAATAAAGGTATTGTGTCCAACTAAAAAATAAATATTAAAAAAAAAAATAAGCAAACAAAACAAACTCCCCACAAAGGTCTAGAGAGTGAGGCTCAGAGCTTAGAGGCACAACATTAGACATTGTGGCGCAAAAAAAAAATATATACACACACAGAAAACTTGATATCCTTACATTTGATTTTGAGCACTGATACGTATCACCTGAAAAATTGAGTACACTGTTTCCTAAATGTCAGACTATGAGTACAAAAACAAAGAATCAACAGTATTTTACCTCAATTGCATTTCTTTACGTTTCTGCATTTCTTGATTGTGAAGTTCTTCCATTCGTCTTAATTCTTCCTGGCGTCTCATCAGATCTGAACATTAGAAAGTATTATTTTGGTATCACATTAATAAGATCCTGGTAACTCAATAAACTGATCCTACCAATAAAATTCGGAAGGCCTTTACCTTGGCGCAAAAGATTTGCCTGATGTTCATGATAGGCATCTTCCATTTCACTTTCCAACTTGTCTTTTGCATCCTTCATGTTTTTTTCAACTTGTTCCCTTTGCTGTTTTTCCATTTCATCCAAGGACTTCCACCTCTGAGAATATTCATACTCAAACGTGCCATGCTGAGCAAAGCGAGGTGGCGTTTCTCTCTCCCTGATAACACAATATTTAAACATGAACCATTTTGTGGATTTGTAAAGACAATATTACTTGTTCCACTTCCAAAAAAAAAAAATCTTTGACTAGGGAAGTAGCTCAGCTGGTAGTAGAGCATCTGCCCAACATGTACACTGGGGGTTTGGTCCCCAGCACTGAAAAAAAAAAAACTTTGATCTTTTCCCTAGCCTATCACTTGCTAAAAACGAAGATTAAAAACTACATCCCCGGGGTTGGGGCTGGGGCTCAGAGGTAGCGCACTTGCCTGGCATGTGTGAAGCACTGGGTTCAATTCCCAGCACGACATATAAATATATAAAGGTCTATTAACAACTAAAAAATTAAAAAAAAAAAAAAACTACTTCCTCATCCTTCTATTTCCTGCATCCCTTATTCTCTCATTCTGTTCTTCCTACTCATAACAGTCAGTTATAACAATTTAATAAAGAGTAAGAAACTAAGATGTAAAATAAAAACAAAAAGGGACACAATAACAAAATTTGGAAGACAAATTCTGCCTTCCACATTTCCTAATGTTTTCCTCTAGCCAAATTCCTTACCCAGGCTTGTATTTTCCATCCATGAAAACGCATTTCATGCAACTGTAAGCACATGACAGGATTGCATGTGAAAGTACCTACATTAAAAACAGTCATTTAAATGACAGCTTTGAAACCTAACTTTCCAAACTTAAAAGCCAGCCTCAGCAACCTAGCAAGGCCCTAAATAACTTAGCAAGACCCCAGCCTCAAAACAAAAAATAGGGCTGGGAAGACAACTCAGAGATAAAAGCACCCCTGGGTTCAAATCCCCAGTACCCCACCCGCAAATTTCATATCTTTTAAGCAAAACTGGAAAAAATTACTAGAGCAAGTTTCCTTTTCAACTTACTTTTGATACATTGGATTCTTCTGTGCAAGTTTCTCAGGAAGACCATCTTCATCATCTAATTGTTCAAGTGGTTCCACAATGACTGGACGAGGAGTTCTAATAACAAAAATGGTTCATCTCAACTTTGTTCCAGACTTTTAATAGAACATCCTTGTAAGTTGTAACAAATAAGAAATGACTAGAGTAAACCAGAGACAACTTACGTTGTCAGTAGGAAAACACCTTCACTGCATCTTTCAAATGCTTTTCTTGCTGCTGGTTTAGAAGCAAATTCAACAATGCCTTTCCCTGTAGATCTACCACGATCATCCACAATTACAACAGCCCTTTCAATAGGACCAAACTGGCTAAAGGCTTCTTCCAACAGTTCATTGGAAACATAAGGTGAAAGATTACGAACAGAGAGGGCAGCAGCATGTGTGGCAAAGCGAACCCGAAGCTGTCTACCTCTCATGGGTGTATCATCAAGTTCAGCTTTGGCAATTTCAGCCAAGGCTCTAGATTCCTGCAAATATTAAAACATTCACGTTAATGGCTTCATAACTGGCTAATGCTCATTTTCAAACTGTTATAAACCAAATTTCTACTTCTTCCAACTCAGTTCAAATGTTACCCTCAGGTAGCCCTCCCGGACACCACTAGGGGTAGTACTTAAATACCTTACCCACCCGACCACCTTTCTTCTCTTAGGTACCAACAATTACTCTCTCTACAGAATATTTTTTTGAAAGAACAATTTATTCTATCTGGTTTTGCGTTCTGCAAAAAACAAAAGCAAAGAAAACCCATCTTCTACATATAATAAATTATACTCACAAGTTTAATAAATCCGAATCCTTTGCCTTTATTGATAAAAACTTCTCCTGGTTCTCCGTATTTTGCAAATAGTCTTTTGAATTCATCCTCTGTGATATCAGCGGGGAGATTCCCAACAAACAATCGACAACGCTGTGTGTAGGTTTTCTCTCCAGGCCTCCTCAAGAGAGACAAGTTAGCTTTAAACCCCTAATGAAAAAAAGGAAATCAATTTTCAGACACCAGTGACCTCTGCAAATTGAAAACCCATGACAAATTCTTGCATTTTCTGAACTGCATGTTTTCTTCGAGGGTTTTCTGGTCCGCTAGAGACGCAATCATGTCGTACATATATATCTGTGCGATTTCCGGCATAATCACTGCCCTATCATTAAAAAGGGTATCTAACAATCCAGAATGCTCCTGAAAACGGAAGCCGTCTACAAACACGTACATATACACTGATACATATATGTCATGCCGACAGTTTTTTATCTAAATCGTAGGAGACAAACACGGTTTTTATCTAAATCGTAGGAGACTAAAACCGTGACAGTAGCCCGATTCTCTACAACCCTACACCTCCCGACGTGCCCTACACTGGATCCAAGGCTCATCACCTGCACCAGACGCGCGGGCAGCCAATCTCCCCGCGGAACAGAGACCTCGACGCCGCGCGCCCGCCGGGCCGCCCCGCCCCCGCGCGCAGGCGCCCTTCCGGCCGCCGACAAAATGGAGGCTCGCGCGGCGACGGGGGGTGGGGGGCGCCGCCATCTTAGGGGAACCGACGGGTCGCTGCTGGAGACTCACCTCCGAGTCGGAGATCTTCTCCTCGCTGCGGCCGCCGGGCCCGCCGGGCGGGGGACCCTGGTGGTGCTGCTGGTGGTAGGGAGGGTGGTGCTGGCGGCCCCCACGGGGCTCCCCGCCTCCTCGGTGCGGCGGCTTGGGGTGGCCCCCGGGAGCACTCAGGCCCGGGCCGCCGCCGGGCTTCGGCCCTCCAGGCAGCTTGCCGCCTTTGGGACCTCCGGGTCCCGGGCCCTGCTTAGGCCCGGGGCCCGGGCCGCCCGCAGGTGGAGGCGGCGGGCCGCCGGCCTGGGGGGGAGTGGTCGGGACGCCGCTGCTCGGCGGCGCGGGCGGAGGCGCTCCTGGTGGGGCGGAGGTGACGGCGGGCGGCGGGGTCGGGGTGGGACCCGGTCCCGGCGGGGCCCCAGTGGTCGGGGGAGTAGCGGGCGGGGCAGAGCCGGAGGCCGGAGGCGCGCTGCCTACTCCGGTAGCGGGGCCGGGCCCCTGAGGAACCACGGGCTTGGACGAATCCTGCGGCGGCGGTGGCGGCTGCTGGTGCGGTGGCTGGTGCGGCGGCGGCTGCTGATGCGGCGGCGGCTGCTGTGGCGGCGGCTGCTGCTGCGGCGGCGGCTGCTGCTGCTGCTGCTGGTGCGGAGGCGGCGGCGGAATCGGGGGCTTAGGGCCGCCTGGGCCTGGGCCCATGGGGCCGCGGTTCTGATTGAGGCCCATGCCGGGCGGCGGAGAGCGGAAATCGTGGAGACCGCCACGGCCACCGCCTCCTCCGCGACGGTGGAAACCGCCACCGCCACCGCCGCGACTCCGGAACCGATCCCGAGACATGTCTGTGATCAAGGGGCGGTCGAGGCAGAAACGAAGAAGACGCTCGGGGAACGTGGAGGCCACCTTGCTTCGCACAAAATGGCGGATGACACAGGCGGCGCGCCGCCTTTGTCCTCCTCTTATATAGGCCAGCTTGCCACAGCCCCGCCTACGCCTCGATCGACTGCGGCAATAGCCAATTGCCTGTACGGTACTTGATGACACTACGTTACGAACCATAAATCTTTCCCATTGGCTCCGGGGTGAGAGGCGGGAGGCATGGAGGGGGGTGAAGTTTCCAGCTGGCCAATGAGCGTAGAAGGAGTTGGCTCTAGGCCACTGTGATTTGCTGTGAGAAATTTGAATGGCTATCCCAGGTCAATTTTTCTGTGAAAGCAAATAACCAGGGCCTTAGCAGCTCTTTGGGAGACAGGCATTAGAGGTCTCCTTTCTTCCTTGTTTACCTTTAGGAGTGGTCAGCTATTCTTGCCCAAAAAGACATATGTCCTTTGTTTGAAAGTTAAGTTCAGTACACACTATCTACCCTTATCTCGTGCTGAGCATTAGAGAAAATTTACCGGTTTCATACTCAACTATTACTGATTTTTACTTGGAAAACTCATAGGAATACTGTATAAAAAGTTTGCATTAGGCTGGAGTGGGTGTGTAAGCTTTGTTCAAAAAAAAAAAAAAAAAGAAGCAGTGTGTGTGTGTGTGTGTGTGTGGTGGAGATTGAATCCAGGGCCTTGCACACTACAATTGAAACACACACACACACACACACACAGCCTTTTTAAATTTTATTTTGAAACAGGGTCAACAGAGTCTTGCTCAACTGCCCAGGCCGACCTGGAACTTGGTGATCCTCCTGCCTCAGCTTCCCCAGCAGCTGGGATTACAGCCGCGAGCCACAACTCTTGGCTAGCCATAGCTTTCGATACTGCTCCTAGTTACTACCACATATTGACCTTTTGGGAGATATTTCCTCAGTGTTAGCTCCTTGTCTTCCTTTCTGTTTCTGCTCATCACCCAGTATCCATGTGGATGACCCACCAAGCACTCTGTCAATTCTTTATCTTCTCACCGCGAGCAATTTTTTCTTCTATCCCGTTTTAGTTTTCTACTCCCCCATCCTCTGCACATCCTCCTAGTTTTATTATTCCCAATAACTACACCATATCTATAATCTATAGTTCAAGCATCCCTCACACTTATTACTACTTCTTTTTTACTTCTGACTCACAGTAGTAACCTCATGACATTTGGAGCTCATCAAATCCTCCAAACCGCTGGGGAGTGGGGTGGGGCAGGGCACTTCTGTAATCCCAGCAACTTGAGAGACTGAGGCAGGAGAATCACAAGTTCAAAGCCATCCTCAGCAATTTAGTGAAGCCTGAGCAAGTTAGCAACACAATCACAAAAAAAAAAAAAAAAGGACTGGGGATGTAGCTCAGTGGTAAAGCTATAATCCCAAGACCAAAAATATAATAAAAATTTTTAAAAGGATTAGGGATGAAGCTCAGTAGTAAAGCACCCCTGACTGGACACCTAATACTGCAAAAAAAGCAAAAACAATAAATTAAAAACCTCCAAACCATTAAATGTCTTACCTTTACATGTTATAATTGCCTAAAAACACATAAAATTCTTATTTTCTTTATCTATTAAACTGATGAAACCTATGGTGAACATGGTGGCACATGTCTATAATCCCAGGCTGAGGCAAAAGGATCCCAAGTTCAAAGCCAGCCTCAGCAACTTAGTGAGACCCTATCTCAAAATAAAAAATAAAAAGGGCTGGGGATGTAGCTCAGTGGTTAAACATCCCTGGGTTCAATCCCCTGTACAAAAAAATAAATAAATAAATAAAATAAAACCTGGTATAACCTGAATCCTAGTTGAATCCAACAATTCACCATCTTTAATGAGACCTGAAGCTTTCACATTATATTCTTGCCCATAAACCTCAGAAGGGCATGAGATTTTACCTGACAATCTTACTGCATTTCTCTAATAAATTCACTTTTCCACTTCCAAAGATGTTTTTTCCCCTTGCTTTCTCTTCAAAACCCTACACTTTCTTCTCTTATTCCTTCATAACAACCTCTCCTCATATTTCCTTCCGAAAATAGGAGTCATTAGAGAGGAATATTCCCATCTAAATGGAAAGTCACAAACCTGCTTGCATTTGCCTTAATTTCTCTATTTTTCTTCCTGATACTGTGAAAGATACGTTTTTTGTCCCCTTGTGCTATGGATTCCACCCACTCTAGCCTTCTCAAGGTTTTTTCTTTATGGTTACTTCTGTTGGATCATTACCATCCTAAAAATAAATAGGGCTGAGGATGCAGCATAATGGTAGAGCACTTGCCTAGCAAGTGTCAGATCCTGATATCCATCTCAGGCACTACAAAAAAAAAAAAAATCCTTCCCTTTATCCTATCCTCCCACTTCTTAGCTCCTCTTTGCAATAAGACTTCTAAAACAAGTCGTATATATGCATGGTCTCTAATTCATTACTTCCATTTCCTCTTTAATGCATCCTAATCTCTTTACACCATTCTGCCTAAAATGTTATCAATGATATGAACAGTCCCCGTTTGCCAAATCATTCATATATATATATATATATATATATATATTTTTTTTTTTGAAGTTTTCCCTGGGGTATTTTTCCAATGAAACATCTCCCATTTTTTTGTTGTTGTTGTGGTTTTTTTTTTTTTCTCCTTCGTTTTTTTAAGTTTTGAGACAAGGTCTCACTAACTTTCCAAGAGTCTTGCTAAATTGCTGAGGTTGGCCTTGAACTTGTGATCCTCCTGTCTCGGCCTCCAGAGTCACTGGAATTACAGGTGTGCACCCCCAATAAACACTTCTCTACATTGGTCTCCTTTTACCCTTTGGCAACATTCAACAACAATGGCACTCTGTCATAAAACACTTCTCCACTTGCCTTCTGTGGCACTGCACTTCTTAAATTTTTTTCCTACCTTACTGATCATTTCTTCTCCTCCCTGGTAGGACCTCTAAATGTTGAGGTATTTCAGAGCTCAGTTCTGGACCTTCTTTAACAATGCTTTCTCCTTGCCTAGATAACCTCTTTACAGACTCAAACACCATCTAAATGTTGAAAATATCCAAATTTATATTTCCAGAGTAGGTGTCTCCTCTGAGTTTCCAACTCAGACATTCAATTACCTATTAGATATCTCCACTCAGTTGGCATATCAGATTTAGTATGTCCAACCTAGAGCTCTTGATTGTATTAACCTAACCTATTGCTCTCCCAAAACTCCTCTGGAATAAAAAATACCATCACTCAGTTATTCAAAACAATTTCATAAAATCCAAAAATCTGTTCAATCTCCAAAGTATTTCTTGTATCCATTTACTTCTCTTCACATTTACCATTACATCCCAATCTTTCCCACCTGTCTCTTATCTAAACTATTGCAACCATTTATTGTCTCCAGTAAAAACACACACACACACATACAAAAAATCAAATGTCATTTGCTTCCCCTACTTAAGGCCTTCTGTGCTTCTATTGTTCTTAGGATAAGAATCCAAACCCAATCTACAAGGCCTGACTTGATCTGATCTCTGCCTTCTTCCCCAGTCTTAACTGTAGTTCCCTCCCATCCAAGCTCACAAAGCCTCTGTCTGTTTTGAAGTTAAGATTTATCAAGTGTCTTCATCTGCATGCTTTGATGTGCAGTGTGCTATGGAACAGAACCCAGGGCCTCTCCTACAAACTCTCTGCAGTGGAGCCACTCCCATCCCCAGTTCTATCTGAAGGCTTTTGGCCTTAGGTTGTTTGTACTTGCTGTTTACTCAGCTTGAGGTGTAGCCCGGACTCCTTTTTTCAGTTACTTTCCCTTCTTCCTTCTATCTTGGCTTGATCGCTCAAAGAAGTCTTTGCTGCCAATCATCACATCTCAACTAGGCCTTCCCTCTCTTTTACACCATCTGGTATATGATGTACATGAAAAATTTCTTAACAATTTGTATGTATCTTTTTAAAAATTTTTATCTAATTGCTTATTTACTGTGGTACTAAAGATTGAACCCAGGGCCTTCCATATTCTAGATAAGTGATATACCACTAAGCTACATCTCCAGCCCTCTTGTCACCAGATTTTCACTAAGTTTCCCAGGCTGGCCTCAAACTTGATGATCCTCCTCCTCCAGCCTCCCAAGTAGCACTGCACCCAACTACATTTCTTTTGTGAGACAGCGTCTCTCTGTGTTTCTGCACTTGTCTATTGTTTGGCCCCCATTTGTTTTTTTGTTTTGTTTTGTTTTGTTTTTAAATATTTATTTTTCAGTTTTCAGTGGACACAACATCTTTATTTTATTTGTATGTGGTGCTGAGGATCGAACCCAGCACCTCGTGCATGCCAGGCGAGCACGCTACCGCTTGAGCCACATCCCCAGCCCTGTTTGGCCCCCATTTGACTCCTGTCTGGGTTCTTAAAGACTGTACCAATGATACTTCACACTAGAACAGAAAAACTTAATAATTGTTGAATTAATGAATGAAAGCATAACAGTGAAGAACAAGCTCTGGTTCTGTCTCCTGGGTGATGTCCCAAGATCCTTCACTTTCTGTTTCCTGCTGTACAGGGGACTGAACCCAGGGCTTCACTCTTGCTAGGCAAGTGCTCTACCACTTACATCCCCAGCCCTTTTTATTTATTTATTCATTTATTTATTTAATTTTTTTGGAGACACGGTCTCGCTAGGTTATCCAGGTTGACCTCAAACTTTCAATCTTCCTGCCTCAGCCTCCAGGACCCTTCACCTTTTTTCTGACATGCTTCCTAAGAGTACACCCGCTTTGGGGAAGTCCTAAAGATTATATAAAGTGTTTAGTACTTTCTTTTCTTTTTCAAGTATCACAATGATCATTGATACAACAAATAAATCAGGACACGAACATGACTTGATTAAAATAAGTAATTTCATTAGTATAATAAGAGTGACTGATTCATATTTTCACCATTTGTTTCACACCCACAGAAGTGTTTAGTACTTTCTAAGTGCTCAGTAAAGACTAGTTATTGTTATTAACAAATAAGTGACAGACCTTTAAAGACAGCTGAGTGTT